TTAAAAACAGAACCGCAAATTATTTAAGTTGAGATCTTAAAAAGGCAAAATTCAGCCAGATCTATTTTGCCAGATTGAAATACAACGAAAATTTTCGCAAAAAATGTTTTACTACTGATATGGTCTTTAATCGAATCTCTATATCTCAGTAAGTGTGTATATACAAGTTATCATTAAGAACGCTTTAAGGCATCCCATGTTTAAACAAAATATATTTAAACAATATATGAGATGTGTTCACCATACTTCGTTGAAGGAGATGAAGGAATGGTAGTTAAATTTTCCCACAATGATATGAATAGAGCTGACGTTTCCACTGAATTTTATATGGCCTTGCTTTTCCAAAAGTTGTTCTCATCCAAGGCAGGACGCAGTTTCGACCTCACTTAGGTCTTATCAACACCCCCAGCGGGGGCTGAACTATCACAGTGTGGCGTGTAATCTCGACACTTTAACCACTACACCACATGGCCATGAGTACCCTTGTGTCACAGGGTAGATTATACGGTGCATTGTCATGGCTCGACTCATGCTAGTCGGTAATAAGGCCTAGGCGAGGTCAAAACTGCAGTTCATCCTGGATATAAAAACACCTTTTGAGAAAGCAGGGCTATGTTAAATTCAATGAAAATGTCAGCTCTACTCATATCACTGTTGGAAAATTCAACTGTCATTCATCACCTTAAACGGAATAGAGATAACACAACTCATATATCTGATTTACTGGTAGTCTCAACAGCCTACTCAATTAAGAAAAAAAACATAAATAATTTTTGTAGTTCCTTATTTGTTTATAAGTAAAAAATAGTTAATGAGTTTTTGAAAGACTTATTCTGGGTAGAAAGGCACCCATTTAAGCTGATATCCGTTCAAGTTTGCAAAATTGGCTCAAATAGTCCTGAGGTAAAGAGCTCAAGATGAATCATCCTGTCGAGGATCGAAGCACAGTGGATGCTCAGTGACATCGCTTTCTCGTAGCACCACCTTGCAGCTCCTGCTTGCGCTCATGCAAAAATCACTATCACTACTAAACCAGATATTACCGCAGGCAATACGCTCATTCTCTCTGATCTGAGAGCGCAAAAATGCATCACTAGGGTAGGGGGTAAATCTGGTCCGAAATATTTTAGAGCAACTAGAAGGAGAAGCAAAAAACGGTGATTCAGTTGACGAGAGAGTGGAACATTCGTAATTAATTTGCTTCCCCAGACTGCTGGAATTGACAACTGGTTTAGACAGTGTCGGTTCGTCATTAAATTCCTGTAGAATTGAGTGTGTAACAGCAAACGATGCAGAAGAGAGGGGGTCGTTCGCGGCCGGGTTAGCTGCGAGGGTTCGCCCGACCGGAATTTTAGTTGCTGAGGTTTCAGGTTCGGTTTTAGAAGAGTTATCCGGTCGTTTTAGGCCAAGAAAAAGGGGTTCTAGGAGGAAGGTTATTAAACGGAGTAAATTTTACAAGTCTAATTTAGGTGGTTAAAATTTGTTTGCAGGGCTCGATGAATTACTAATTGACTGGTTTCTAACAAAAAAGTAATTTAATCATAAACATAAATTCAGCACCATGATTTCCAATACTGTGTCAACTTATGCAAGCGAAAAGTTTAAAAAAAAGTATATTTATATCCTGCTTTGGGGGATAGTAGCTCAGCATACTCTGAGGACTTCACCTGCGTTACAATAAGCTAATCTTTGAAGGACTTGTTGACGGAGAAATATAGCAATAGGTATACAATGTCAACCAAGCTTCCAACCTCAAGATGAAGTTATCAATAAAGAACAAAAGCAGGTTGTCAGAACATATATAAGTAAATGTAACAGAAAAGATATGAGTGACTATTTGAAACGTTGTCCCTATCAACAATATCCATCTGAGTATTTGGTGTATACCAATAAATAGAAATATATGATGAATAAGTCTGCAAAAAACAGTCAAAGTCCCCGTATACTGAAAGCATATCAACCCCATTAGAATTTATTTGT